CACCAGCCACACACATTCTGGGAGTGGAAAATTTCAGCAGCATTGCTTCAACACGAGCAAACTCTGGACCCGTTTCAACTTTCAGCATAGCATCAGCAGCATCAGGCTTACTTGAAGCAATGATGGTAAACTGGCAAATATTTCCAGGCAAGGACCCTCTCCGTTAGATAAGGGTCATCCTGGTTTGACATAAAATTACACAATACGCACAACACTCATGGTTATTTTGTGGAACGTCTCATCTTGAGCACTGACCCACAGCCATGATGATGGCAGCACGATACCACCGACTGGCACCGTGCTGCCACCGCACTGGAACAGCGCCGACACTACGCCGTCCCACAAAGATCCAATGCTCCCCCCCCTCCCTCCCCCTCCCCGCCCTCATTTCACTTTCAGTTCAAATAAAGGAAAAATGGATACAAAAATACAGCTCTGCATTTTTTTTTTAAACAGATCGGAGGATATGCAATCGTATTCTCTGAATAATCCCGGTATTGTTAACGCACCCATTATGCTGCAAAGTGCAGCCATCGCTCTATCACTTAGCACGACCAAAAGCCCCCAGTGAACCCATCAGTCAGTAAGGTGTGGCAGCAGCAGCAGTTACCCGCAGCCCCCGCTAAGAAAACACACGGCTGTGGCGGTGATGGCCAGATAACTGGGCAGATTGTGGGCGCTGTCGGCATCCCCATTCCAGGGCAGTCAAGCGGCATCGCAAACACTCGCAGAACACTCGCGCCCGGTCGCACCGTCGCTCCGTAGCATGCGTGGGTGGCAGCGGGGTCAGCTCGTAATGAAGATAATGGAGCGGAGAGCTGTAGACCACAAAATAAACAAGCGGACGCTACGTACGCCTGCCTCCCGAATGCATCTCTCCGCATAAAAAAAGAATCCAGCACTTTTTATGCCTCTCATCGGACACGCGACTGTCTGGAATTTTCCTTTTTTTTCAACAGTATTGGTTCAAAACAAGCAAACTCTGGAAGGGTTTCGAGATTCAGTGTCTCATCATCAGCAGCATCAGGTTTGATTGAATCAATGCTGGTGAATTGCCAGATGTTTACAGGTAAGGGCCCTCTACTGTGGTTAAAACTTATTTTTCACGTCGAGGTCACCATCAATTGCCGGAAACTTAAACGGAAATAATCCGTAACCTCTCGACAGTTTAGCACCTGCGGACGGCAAACATCGAACTGACAAAAAAATACAAAGACGCACTGCATAGGACAACGGCGAAGTTCACAGCTCTACCAGCTCACGGTGGGAGGGCACGGCTCTCCGTGGCAGGGCGCGGCGCCACTCCTGGAGATCGCGCAGGTACCCTCCTTGGAATCGGCAGCCACTGTGCTTTTAAACGAAGCACCGACCGGAGCGCACGGATTTTCTGCGTAAGGGGGCAACCTTAGCGTCCCCGACGACGAAAGATGACGCACGGACGAACAGCGGCGACGTTACGTTTTGATGTCGAGTCCAGAGCCTCGGGAGATGCGGGGAGCGAATGTCAGAGATGCGTCAGCGGACGGTCGTTCGCTACAAGTACCATGACGACGGCAATCGTGAGGTCGTCGCGCGCTCCGGCGTTGCCGTACCCCCACGACGGTGCTCTCGGCCGGCATCCCCCTGACTCGCTCGTCGTCGCACGAACGAACCGTATCGCCACCGCCAGCTGCTCGCCCACAAACCACTGCTCGGCCTCGGTGCAACCGGATTGGGCAGACCGCCCTCGAGTCAGTGCCGAGCCGGGAGCGTGTACCGGCAGCCACTGAGTGTGACGGTCCCAGCTCCGGCCTCTTCCAGCCCGTACGCGCCACGGTTAGTTGAGGCTATTTGTAAGCGGATGTTTATGTTTTGAGGTTTTGAGTTTGAGAGCGATAATGAGGCCTCTGTCAAGGCAGAGTGCACTCGGGGCAAACGTCATATCGCAAAACCGGCTCCCGCACCCAAACTCCCTTGAACACACGTAACTACCTGGTACAACCCAACACCCACACACAGCCCTACCTAACACTCACACCTGCCCTACCCAACGAGCAGACATAGCCCTACCTAACACCCACATACAACCCTACCCAGCATCCACACACAACCCTACCTAGGACACACACACTGCCCTAACTAACAGCCAAACACAGACATACCTAACACCTACACACAGCCTTCCCTAACACCCACACACAATCCTACCCAAAACCCACACACAACCTAACACCCCACACACAACGCCCACACAGAGCTCTAGCACCGTGCACACGCAATACCTGCACACAGCTCTGCCATCTGCACCGAGCACCACGGCGCCCGTGTGGCCGGCGAGCGGCGCGGCCCAGCGCCACCACCACCAGCACGGTGCCCGTGAGCGCAGGAGGACGTACCGGGCGCAGAGTCCACCACGCACACGCGCAGCGCCGCCGACCTCAAACCCTCCCGACCGCCACGCGCGCCACAGGCCGCTCGCCTGCCCGGCTGATGCTATCGCTCTCCGCGCACCCTTCGACCCCGGAAGTGCCTCAGCACCTGTTTGCTGTACAAATACCGAGCCGGGCTTCCTGCGCGGCGGCCGCCGTGTCGCCCGCACCGGCTCCCGCGTCCGATGTGTTCGGCACCCGCCGCTCGACACTCTTCCGGCCCCCGAGCGCGCTCCGAACCCCGCCCTGCGGGCCTGCGTGCCGACGCGACGCAAGCGCGCGGCCGACACCTGGCCTAAACGTTGGAGCCCATTGACAGCGGCGGCGTCGTTTCCACGCCTTTGTAAATTATAATGCACTGTACAACTTCGCAGCGGCCCGAAACGCAATCTACACATTTCATCGCGCGTCTACGCTTCGGCGAACGCACGCTCAAGAATGTTCGAGATAAGGCGGTCGGGGAGTGATTTTTTTTGCCCGCACGCCTAAAGTTGCGGCGGTGTCGAGTGTCGCGCATGATGAGCCCCAGCGGCTCGCGTTTCCTCGCGACGCCGGCCTCGCACCCCCAACGCGCCGGCGTCTCTCGCGACCCCCAGAGACATGCGGGCTTCGTTTGAAAGTTTTAAGCTCAACGGGGGAGGTGGCGGGGGGCTCCTAGCGTCATACCCAACCGCGTCTCCAGACCGGGCATCGGGGTGGCCGACACACCAGGTGCACATATGAACAAATGTGGATTATTCGTCAACTTGGGAACTCATTGCAGATTATTGTTACTATACCAATAATTACCTATTCACCCGGCTAGGGCAAAGAGTCTGTTTGAGCAGGGTCCTGCTACATTGGGATGTTTGACCAACACCAATGACATTGCGTGTATTTAGCTGGATAGCCCGGAGGATATCCACAGTGGAACAGGGGGAGGAGCACGTGCAAACATCACACAGAAAGGTACCCAGGTCCTTCTTTCTGTTTGGCACAAATATTCCCACCGTGCCACCCTGCCACTCATATAAGTGTGTACCACGCCACTCCTGCCTGGCCACCCCCACTCTAATCCCCTTCCCCCCGCCGCCCCTCCTCCCCCCCCCCCCGCTGTGAGAACGGACACTGCCGCTGCTCTCCATGCAGCAGCAGCAGCAGCAGTGGCGTCGTGGCCCTGATGCAGCCTCTCCCTGCCTAGCCTCGTCTCTCTCCTGACCCCTTTGCCTCAGCAACTGTGCTGAAAAATGAAAAACATCGATTTGCACGCGAGTGACAAACGCGTTTGATTCTGCATGAGAACCAACTACTTGAGATTCAAACGAGTTGCATGCAAATTATCTGCCGATAAAAATATCGGGTCAAATCTGAACGGGTTCTTCATGTAGCCGAGGGGAAGGAAGGACCGTGACTTGTCAGCTGACCCCTTGTCATCTCCGTGGTGGCTCCAAGGTCCGGCGTAATTGGTAAGTCCCCCGTCACCGTGGGTACCACGTCACCGTGGGTACCACGTCACCGTGGGTACCACGTCAACCGAGGCAGCAATTCGACAAACCGTACGCCAGTGGCACAATTGCGGCAATCGCACGACTAAAACCAGGCAAACGACATTGTGCAAACTGGACACAAGCCGATTAAAAACGAGGGCTTCGTTCAAAAACTTGGGAGTCCGTTGGGGACAAAAGAAGAAATCGTTCTTTGAATGAAATTTCGATGCCGATTCGCGACAACTCAGCGAAACCTCGAGGGCGTGAGTCAGTGGCCGATCCAAGAGAAAACCCAGTACTGGTATTTTATTGATATATACCAGACACAATACATTATATGTTTTTTATTATTTACATGCGGCCTTATTGAGAAATCTCAACACTCTGGGATGGCCTGCCCCCACCCCCCTGCCGGGTAGTCTCCAGCGAGGCCTCCGCGGTGAATCTCTCGGCGCTGGCCGCTGAGAGGGCGGAGGGACACGGCTCTTCACGGGACACGGCTCTTCACGGGGCACTCGCGCGACACCGAGATCCGCGCTCCGCCACGGCTGCGCAGGGCCGGCGAGAGGTCACCTCCAGCCGGAGGGGCAGCGGCGACGTGCAGGAGGCGCGTGCACCGCACGGCGCGTGTGCACGGCGAGCGTGCGTGGCACGCGTACACCGCACGCGCGTTGCACGCGAGCCGGACGGAGACAAATGCTCGCTGCACCTGTGCAAACACGCGCCGTGCGCCACGGCGCACCGCAGAGCCGCTCGGCGGGTGACCGGAGGCAAATGTGTTTTGACAGCCCAATCTGGCCACCTCCTGCTATACGAATTGAGCCGCGTGCTGGCACCGCGATGCGACGCATTATCGGCCGAAACAGTGGGGGAACTTGTGATTATGTTCTTGGCAAAATGCAGAGGCGCTCCCCGCCGGGGCGTTCCGACACGTGGACTTCGCTGTACGTCTCCCACAGGGCCGCCGCTGAAATCGCTCCGCCGCCAATCGCAGACTCCGAGGGGCGCCGACGCCTTAGAGGTCACGCAAGGTAAACAACTGCCGGTCGCCGCGTGACCCCTGGTAACGAAGACGCGGGGCTTTCTCGCTGCATCGCAAACGGCGCGTCGCGACCTCCGTCCGTACCTTTAGTGGGCGCGGCGCTGAAGAGCTTCTCGGAGCTCACGTCGGAGACCTGCAACGGCAAGGGAGAGAAGTCGCTGTCAGAGACGCAGGATCAGGGGAAGGAAACCAACAGCTTGAAGTGTGTACAGTGCTCAACGGTGCAAACTATTCGTCGGGTAGGCCGACTCGAAGTGATCTCCTGCTGCTCAAGTAACCATCGAGGTGGTGCTCCTCCCCTGATTACAGCGCCGAACCAGAGGTGGCAATTCCACATTCCTATGACGGGGGCGGGCCCATCGTTTCATCTACCGAAGGGCTTGTTAAATAACATAACATGCATTCACCTTCATCCTCGATCGCCAATCCAGTTACATACAAACACAAACTTGACGTATTGTACGCAACACGTGTGCCCAGCGTGGAAGAGTCAACTAAACACTCTCTGGAGCCACCTCCTGCCAGCAGTGGCTCGAGCCAGACACTGCAGGGCTGAACAAAGCATCAAAAGCTGCGCCGGGTGTCTGGACACGAAGCGATCATCACACGCCCGGCCTCGGCGTCGTTACGGTGAACGACGACCCGCTGCACCTCCGCGAACCGCGCGGCCATGAACCGGCGCCACCGCCTCTCTGCCCGCAGCCGCCACTCGCCGCGCGTGCGGTCGCCGAACAGCACAGCCGGGACAGAGGTGAACGGTTCGTCCAAAACACCGCCGCCCTGCAAATCTCAAACCGCTCCCCACCACTGGGCCGCTCGCGGGACCATAGCGCTCGCGGGCTCATCTTGCGGAGCGACGGTGTTGCTCACCGCCGCCGCCATCACCGCCGGCAACGCGTGCGGGCTGCGCCGGGCGAGAGCCACGGGACCGGTTTGTGTCGTTCCACTCGGATCAACCTCCCCGTCTCGGCAGACACCTGTCGCACGGCGTCTGTCCGCTCCGATTTCGCACGGGGCGCCGAGGCTTGACTACGCGCCCACCGCAATTTACGACGGCTCCGCAGAGGGCCCACGCAACAAAATTAAACAATCAGGAGTTGCGTCCTTTTATTTAATCCGGCACGGCAATAACGCCGCGGCCTTAAAGGACGCCTAATGCACAAGTGGAAGATCAAAGGCTCGACTGTGGCTATGAACTCCACACCAAGGGACCATGCAACCTTGCATTGACGTATAACTAAGTCTCTAATAACCCGCTCGTCATAGGCCGTGCGAAAAATGATGAGAGTTATGAACAAGGGCCAATGCCTGAAACGTTAGCAATTACATACTTTCCTTTTGATGTCGCTGTGTTATTGCCGAATGTGCTCCATTTTTATGATTTGTACTTGTGCACCATTACCAATGCAGTACCACCAGATAATTGATTTTTATTTTCAATACTAAATGGCTACTTTGTGATCGGGAATGGAAAAGCCCGGCTGCAGTTATGCAGAGATAATAATCATTCATTGCACTCCTCCGATAATTTTGTCTAGAATTCATTTGCAGGAATGGTTGAAATGAGGGATTTGGCTTTGGACAGACTCATGGCCAATGGCATCACAGGCTCGTGAACGTTCTGCATCACTGTGCAATGTACCAGGTGCAATCCCGGGACACCACTTCGTAGCGGCCACGAGAGTTCAACCCCTGGCCCCGTGCAAAGTGGCTCTGTGGCGAGTACGCCAACTCAAATTAATTAAGCAGCCCACATTTACACACTTCCACAAACACTCTCCCGTGTAGCCCACCAAAAGACATTTGGACAAGCGTTGTTGGCGCGCATCCGTCACGGCGCACGAGGTGGTGGTGTGGCCAGAACCACACCAGGCCGCCTTTGTCTCTCCAGCGGTCGATGTTTATACACCGCGGCAGGTACTCATTTAAAGCCGGGTGAACTTTGGGGAGGCTCAAGGATCGGTTCAGATATTCGCCATCAAAAAGGAATCAGAAGTCGCTGGGTTTGTAGCACCGCTCGCGAACCACTGCACCACCGCTCCCCCGTAACGTATACAAGTCTTCTCATAAACACACACACACACGGGCGTGTCGGCCAGTGTCCCGCCCTGTCGACAGGTGGCAGCAAACCCACACGCACCTCTATCGTGCGCACAGACGCAGGGACTGCACACGGTACACATGCTGCGTAGTGGAGGGGAATACAAATGCACCCCGAGGGCAGGAAGCAAACAACAACAACAACGCAGGAGAGAAAGTGCTTCTGCACCCACACGCACTGCAGGGTGCGTATATCGACACACGGGTGGACCAGCAGCGGCGCGTCCGCCGCTTGTTGCAAAGGCTCCCGGTGCCGATTCAGAGGCTGCCCTCTGCGGTGGCATCAACGGTGCAAATACCACGCGCGGTCATTCGTGTGCTGGTGTCACCGTTCAAATTTGCTAAATATTATGACACCACAACTTTACTCGATTGGGATTTTGCATAGCGACCCATCTGAAAAAGAGTCCTGAGACTCGGCGAGGCTTTCCTGAGTAAACACAACTGTAATCATATTAACGACTGTCTATGAACACACACGAAGTAGTGTATGTTCATACAACCTCTATAAGTATACGAGAAGACAACCTGCAGCGTACAGGCCTGAAGAACACACACACCACATACATATTATAAACGCACACACACACGCTTCTGTTCCCTCGCTTCAAACACTGAGGATCCCATTCATTCTCGTCCCACATCACAATGAACACAACAGCACGACCGCATTCTCTAAGCCGCAAGCGTCACTCTGAACAGAATGACGCCGTCGGTGCTTGACACGCGTTCCACGCACAGAGACGGGTGAAAAATACAACATTTATGGCTTCATAACCACGCTGAAACATCATCGTTCGCGTCACTTTGCCGAATACAAGCACCAAAATAATCGGCAGACAACTCTCCCCATGATTCGTGTAAAAAAACTGACCACACATCCTATCAGCCGCAAGTGCATAATTTCAGCAGCATTGGCTCAATGCAAGCAAACTCTGAACCGGTTTCGACAGACGGTCTCTCACCAGCAGAGCCACGCTCCCTTGAACCAATGCTGAACCCCCAGACGTTCATAGGCGAGGCCCCATGCCATACACCACGTGCTCATACACGCTTATAAATAACTCTTGAGTCAACTTAAAGGTCTCCGAGGAATAGCGCTTACAGGTCAGCACGACGTCGCAGACTGGAACCGCGCGGGTGCGGCAGCGCAGAGTGGCCCCCCGGCACAGAGCGGTGGCCGAGCGGCCGGCGCGGCGGGCGAGCGAGCCGGCTCGAGAAAGATCGACTATTTGCTCGCTCGTCAACAACTTTCCCGGGTTGTGCTATGCGCGTCGGGCGGCATTCTCGCTTTATATAGCGGCCGGCTAAGTCAGCGCTGGGCTCCGGTTACGACGGCCGGCCGCCCGCCAGGCCCCACCGTCGATTCCGTCTCTGCCGTGGCCCCCCCCCCCCCGGCCGGGCCACGCTGCCGTCTGCGCCCGCGTCTCTCGCGCCGGTTCCTTGGCGTGCGGGGTTTGTCGGGCCCCGCTCCTGCTGTCAGCCGCCAGAGCCGCAACCTTTTGGTTAAGCCTCTATAATCGCACCGCGCAGGCTCGCTCGTGCACGCGCAAACACACACACGCACACACGGGTGATCCGCGTGTGCGTACAGGTGCACGTGTACACGAGGGCTCGGCCTAGACACCGACTCTCTCATCCGTACTGTGTTCCACCGCCACACTGCAGGTCACAACAACATGCTCACTCACTCACTCACCACACTGGAGGTCACAACGCTTCGATTTATGCTTCTTCCCTCGCATTGCTCCACGCTGGGATTCCAACCCACCGTTTCCTTTTCCCAGGCTTTTACAATTAATCTCGCTCAATTTAAGAAACGTTTGAACTCTTATCTGTTACCACTGACGGTGTGGTTTGTTGTTGGCCGCTTGACGTCACGTGCACACAACAACAACAGCCATTCGCCACTAAGTGGCAGTGACATCACCACGACGCTTGTGCCAGGCTATGTGCACCATGAGGCCACGTGAAGTGTTGAACGCCCGCTGGCAGGAGGTCACGGGGCAGACCCAGGTGCCACGGGTCCACTGACTGAGATGAGTGGCTGATGCACCACCTGCGCCCCCTCCTGTGCCAACTTGCTGTGCTTTAGCCACCCGGCGTTCTGCTCGTTGTTGTGAGCGTCGCTCCTCCGCCCACCGCGTTGTTGGAGGGCGACTGCCTCCAACTGCCCAGTAGCGTCCTTCACGAACCTCCTCCACAGAGGCCGATCTTGACACCGCTGATACCAGTCCTCGGCAAGTCCACTCAGCTCTACATCCTCCTGTACCATATCACTCCATCTCTTCTCTAGCCCGTGCTGCGCCCGTTTAGCCCCCTCGATCCGGCCGAACAAAAGCTGTTTGGGCATGCGGTGATTGGGCACGTGGTGATTGGGCATGCACACACACGCACACACGCCGAGCGAGCGAGCCGGTGCTGCCACGTTCCTCACAACCGCTTCACAGGTGGACTGTGCCCCAGATTGGGGCCTCACACAATTACTCGCACTTATTTCAAAATCTCTGCACTTTTAGACGCTGTTCATGCAAAGATACAGCTGCTAAAGATTTATCAAAATGGATGAGCAGACCTTCCACATACAAAAATTTTTTTAGTATTTTTTTTCCCCACATCTCATCAGCCACACAAGCCTTGTGGGTATGCATTTTTGAGCTCCTTAGTTCAACACAAGCAAAGCTCTGGAGCGGTTTCAACATTCAGTGTCTCATCAGCAAAGCCAGGCTCGTATAAACCAATGGTGGTGAAGTGCCGGATGTTTATAGGCAAGGGCCCTCTCTGTTAGATAAGGGCCCTCTTTAACGATCAGTTAGTGCTCCAAGTGGAGCCGCGGTGTCGGATGCCAGGGCCTGCCAGGGAGAAGCACCCCCAGCGCTGAGCCCGGCTCTCGCTGTGCCTCACCCAGGCCCCCCCCCTCCGTTCCCGGCAGGAACCGCGCCGCCACGCGCCCAGCCAGAGCCGCCGTACGAGAACGTGAACGCCGCGCTCTCCTGCCCAAGAAACGATTCCTTGACGCTTCACGTAGAAAAA